CCCCCCAGGGTTTAAGGATTGGGGCATGCAGGATTAGGGGTCCCCCCCCCCCCCCCCCCCGTTGTCTTTGATCCGTGTCGCCCCCATCGCGGTGCAGGAGGTTGGGTTCATGAGGTTGACGAAACAGTATACCATGACGTGCTCAAAACAACTCCTGTGCACCCGCTGCGGCCACGATGGTGATCCTGCTCGGACTTCCTCCATTTTCTAGCACCGTCATACAACGATTGCTACCTCTTACCAAAAATAAATAGAATTCGGAATGAATGTGCTATTTCATGGGACCGCGGCGAAAAGATTCCAACCATGCCGTCCACGAAGCAATTGCTGGTACTGGCCCTAATCCGTCTGCGCGTTTCGTACGATGCAGTACATGCCACCGTTATCGTCGATAAACGCACTTCTGGCTCGCGTTCAGGTACAATACACACGGTGGAACACCCGTTTTCGATAGATGCAATTTGTCAACTCGCCTTCAGGTAAGCAAGCGCTTCTATCGATACCGCACAAACCATACTACCAATTGTTGCCCTCGTGAAAAACTCGCACGTGCCCGCCTGCGGACAAACCAACGCCTTTGAAGGCGTTGGAACAGGTGCACCCAATGGGCAGGCGCCTTGCGCCGAAAACTTTTTCTTCCTCCCTTCACGTTACAGAATGAACGATTCCCCATGTAGGCATGCGAGGTCAAATAGTCTAACCACTACCTGGCATGCACGGCTATGAGTACACCACACACCTGAGGTCTTCGAGCAAAGTAATCCTTGAGGGCCTCCGGGTCATACACCAGCGGAAGCCTGTCCGTTTCTCCTCCCGCCCCCTCCGCCTCGCCGTCCTCGATCTCCAGGAGACGCATCTCTCCTTCGGCGGAGGCGTAGTCCCTGATCCCCGCCCCCCGCAACGCCTGCATGTACGCCTGGGCCTCCTCGTTCTCTTCGAGGTCTTTTCTCATCTGAGGGGAAACGCGGGTGTTTGGTTGTAGCGATAAAATACACATACCTCTATACAGAAAATTGGGAACGGGTCTATTGTGTGTTTTCGTTGGTGTGGTGCAAACGCGATTCTCAGCGTACGATGGCATACAGCCCCGGCCCCTATTCTGCCGGGGGAAAGGGCTTCAACATCAGGCAAAGGTACACCCGCGTGAGACCCTGCTCAGGGCTACTTTTGTCCAAACAAGTCCGCACGGGGAACGGGGAGTGAAGAGAGCGGTACTCCAAGCTCTGACTACAACCTGAGAGTTTGAGGTGAAAGCCGGAGTTGTCTCGGGGTTTGGTTTGGTATTGCAAAGGTGGACAAACACACACGCATCTGCCGTATTCTCGCTTTAGAGAACGGGTCTAAATTTATCGTCGTGAGTGGAAAGAGAGCCTCTCTTCGTTCTCTTCAAGAACACCTTCCTCGCAGCAGTGGTGGTAAAACGGTCACCTCGTACTCAACAGCCAGTTGCTCATGAAAAAGTGCATGACCAAACGTGTTCCACCCATATCAACATACGTGCGTGTGTCAGGGATGTCCTGAGCATAGTTTCATAGGTCGGGGTGAAAGCTCCTAGCCTACATGTAGTCGGCATCCTCAAAGCCCCCCTGGCGGCTGAAAAGACGATTGAATGGAAACCATGGCGAGTTGTGGCGCCGTACCGTAATTCGTCCAATTCCTCACATTGCGGTAGTACTGTATGGTGCATTGGACATCAAGGAATGCCGCAGCCATCAATGAGAGAACGTACAAAACAAGCGTGAAAACGCTGACACCGGAGCGCAACACAGACCGTAAACTCTGTAGGCACACGCTACTTAAAATGACTTATTGCTGCTGCGAGGTAGCGGTTTGTATGTGACCGTTGCTCCTACATAGTAGTACCATCTCAGACATGTAGTCCTTCCATCAGTTATTCGGCCTGCAATTGTTCTCCCAAGAATCATCCAGCTTCGATCCACGGCGCAACAACACCCCTTTAATTAAATTGCGGGACGACCGGGCTGCTGTTGTACCCCGCCCGCGTTCTCGTCTCAGGTATAAACGTATGGTCGTCAATTTGGAAATTAGTTTCAATTAGCCCCCCAACATCCGCAGCTAGAAATAATAGCTTCATCATGGTCGACCATGTACCAACGGAACAACAGTGATTTGCATCAAGGGGCGGGTAACAGCTTGCTTTCGCCGTTCACGTAGCATCGCGCCTTTTTGTGCGCTCCGCGTGCGCATGCATAGCCCCCCCCCCCCGCCCCCGCCCGAAAGGTCTTATTTTCCTCTCAAATAACGAGGTGACACTCGGACTCGGGGGAGTGAGAACAGCAGTCCATCTATCTGTAGCAGCAGCAATGCTTACGGTTTATTTGTAGCCCTTTGTACAGCAGTACTGCTTTCGGTGTGGGAATCTTTTTGGCATCGTCTGCAAAAGTTAGGATATGCTCAGTAACCAAAACCAAAACGAGAAATGCAGAGGACACCCAGGCGTGTTGCATGCCTGGCGCCGCGGACAAGCACATTGCTCTTTGCCTGCGCACCTGAGCACGCCGGTGACGAGGGCGTACGTACGTATGCATATGACGTGCAGCAACGTACGCATGTGTGTGACTCATGAAGCCAACCGGCACTACATGTATTGTAAACGACAGCAGTTTGACAGACAGTCAGAACAACACTCGATTCACGCAAACTCAGCAGCAGCCAGCAGGCCAACAGAAAACGTCTCCATCAGACCGGCCAACCCAAAGCCGACCTGATCACGCACCTGGCTCATCTGTGCACTCATTTCCCGCACTGACTGTGTTCCGCCATTGATGGTCTCGGTCTCTTGCTGCTGCTGTGTCCGAGAAGGCGGTGATGTCAACGTCATCTCGAGCCCATGTTTCGGTCGGGGATACCTACCATCCCACCGCGGCGATCCTCCCGCGGTAGACGCGGAGCTTCCACTCACGCCGCTGGTCCTGCTGAAGGTGCTCCTGGCTACGCCACCGTGGGAAGGAACCACGAGGCCATGTACCAGGTGCTCGCGCTGGCGGTGACACAGCAGCAGCAGCAAACATGACGACGTCGTCGCAAGCTTTGTGAGCTGACTCCTGGCCCTCCGCCGGCCTGGCTGGCTCGCAGATTGAGTGCTACATGGGAGATAGGAAGCTTTACTTAGATGGCCAGGCTTATTCATGGCTGCGTTGTTTCCCGTAGGGCGGGATACGCTGATGTAAGATCAACAACCAGAACGTAGGCTGCAGAGCGGAGAACGAGAGCGCGAGAGCGGAGTAAAGCAAGAGGGCACACAGACTGGGCTTTCAGGTTTTGCTGATACCCCAAGAACACGCTAAATACTAGCTGCCGGCCCTCTGGTGCTTTGTGCCAAATGTTTGTGCTCCTTGCACATGTGCAACTTCCTCCGTCCAACCCCGTCGCGGTTCTCTCTCGCACACTCCCCCATGCATGCCCATACCCGCCCCCTTGCGACGCCATCCCTTGTGTGAGATGGGACAAACTGTCCTCAGCACTATCCCCGCAGCAGAGGCCTTGAGACCCACGAATGGCCTGAACAGCAGTGCAGAAGGATCCGCTTTTATAGACTACTAAATTTTTCGGCCCGAAACATTCCGAGAACGACCCAGTCGCAGGCTATTTCAGCGGTCCCCAGCGATGCCGGTTCGCAAAACAAAATTTTCCTCTTTTATAAAATCTCCAAATTTCAAAAAAGACAACTGTTTGCTACAGCAGTACACACAGCTCTAGTCTACATCGACTAAAGTCACCGGTACCTACATACATGCATACATATGCATACACACCGGCATACCCTGTGTACAGCACAACCAACCTCCTCCGATGGCAAAGCAACTGCTGTGTATATGCTCAAGTAGAGCATGTCGGGAAGCTGGTGGCATGGCCAGCCTTACCCTACCGTCGGATGACCGGAGGGCGAGATGGCTGAGATGTTTATTTTGGCGGCCGAACAGAACTACACGAAGCTTGGCGGGCGGGCGTCTCTCGTTCATGTCTCCCCAAGACCACCAATTGAAAAGCAACAAGCCGAATCAGGGCAGTGGCGGTTGCCCTCCGTTTGTTCGCGGACGCAAGGAAGGGTGCTGTCCCAGACCAGACGGACGGGCAGACAAGGGAGGCGACAGCAGGAGCCTTGGGGAAGTTTCGGAAGACCGAAGCTCCGGCCGAAGCTCGGTGTGCTGCCTGGGAAAACGAAGCCTCGAGGCAAGGAGCTGGGGCATCGGACTTGTTTGATAAATTGCGGCTGTAGGACGAAGGACGATGTCATCTCTTCACTCCGAAGTGATGTTGTTACTTGTTTCGCTTCAATAATGGTCGCCACCCACATCACACGCGACGGTAGCGTTGTCGAACACGCTCCCGGACGCGGCGAGCCCCTCTAGGTTACGCACGGACACGATCCAGAAGCGACGGTGCTCTTACGGGACCACAGATACTACGCGCTGCGCTTGGCTGCAACCGCTTCAGGATCGTGTGGTTGAATCTCCCCTCCAGCCTGCCCCCCCCCCGACTCTGTGCCTTCCACACGCCTGCCTGCCGTCGTTCTCACCATACCCCGCACTAGCAACATTATTCTCAGTGAAGAGATGGCATCGTCCTTCGTCCTACAGCCGCAATTTATCAAACAAGTCCGATGCCCCAGCTCCTTGCCTCGAGGCTTCGTTTTCCCAGGCAGCACACCGAGCTTCGGCCGGAGCTTCGGTCTTCCGAAACTTCCCCAAGGCTCCTGCTGTCGCCTCCCTTGTCTGCCCGTCCGTCTGATCTGGGACAGCACCCTTCCTTGCGTCCGCGAACAAACGGAGGGCAACCGCCACTGCCCTGATTCGGCTTGTTGCTTTTCAATTGGTGGTCTTGGGGAGACATGACCGAGAGACGCCCGCCCGCCAAGCTTCGTGTAGTTCTGTTCGGCCGCCAAAATAAACATCTCAGCCATCTCGCCCTCCGGTCATCCGACGGTAGGGTAAGGCTGGCCATGCCACCAGCTTCCCGACATGCTCTACTTGAGCATATACACAGCAGTTGCTTTGCCATCGGAGGAGGTTGGTTGTGCTGTACACAGGGTATGCCGGTGTGTATGCATATGTATGTATGTAGGTACCGGTGACTTTAGTCGATGTAGACTAGAGCTGTGTGTACTGTAGACAAACAGCATGTCTTTTTTGAAAGTTGGAGATTTTATACAAGAGGAAAATTTTGTTTTGCGAACCGGCATCGCTGGGGACCGCTGAAATTGTTCGTGATAGTTGCTGCTGTGTGTGTCGACAGAGTAACGTAGCACAATATGATTGGACAGTTTGAATTGAGGGACTGTCGATGTTGCAGATCGCTGAGTAGCCACATATTATCAGAACAGCAAGGAACGTTCTGTAGGAATGCTCCTCGTGGATGGTGCATTTCCCCGAGTGTATTCTTTATGGATAGTGCATCAACCAGAGGATTCATGGTACGTTGTGAAGTACGTTGGCCCCTGTTGAGTCGTTGTGTTCCGATATTGTGTTCTGCTTTCGTCCGTTGGTCGAGCGACGGGTGGTGCTGCGGCGCTGCGGTGCTCGCCCCACCCTTGCTCACTCCACCTTTTGACCTGTTCTCCTGGTCCAAGGTCTCATCAATACAACATCTTTTCCCCAGAAGCCACGAGTTTACCAACACGCTATAGCGAACCAGTCGACTGCTGCTTGTCCCCTTGGACTGTACGTCAAGACTGAACGGAGGAAGATTGATCACCTTGCTTCGTGATGAGTGGGCCTGCTGGGGATCATGTGGATTACCCACCTCCGGGTGATTCGCAGGATGTTATTGGTGGTGAGAGACTGGATTCGATTGAGACACTGTTGTCCCAGCTCACGAGCATAATCAAGTCGTTTGTTGGGCAACGACGTGATCAGGTGGAGTCCTCTGTTTCATTTGCTGCTGCGCCGGGAAGCGGCGGAACAGAGTATGCTGGTGTGCATCAATCGGATGTCACTGGCAGGACTGTGGGAGGTACGGACAGTAGTGTCCAAGGCTTTGGCATGTCCAGCATGTGGGTTGGGAGTAGTAGTCTTGCAGACTCAGGCTTGAACCTTCGTGCAATTGTTGTTTGTCGTTCCTCTGCTGGTGGTAGAGCCAGCGGCGGAACCGACGCCGGTTGGCATCCTGTAGATGCTACTGGCAGGACTGCGGGAGGTAAGGGCAGCAGTGCCCAAGTCCTTGGCATGTCCAGCGTGAGAGTTGGGAGTAGTAGTCTTCTAGACTCAGACTTGAACCCTCATGCATCTGCTGTAAATCGTCCCTCTGCTGGTGCTGCAAGCTTCGGTTCGATTGGAACTGTTAGTAGGGCTTTGGGTAGCCAGTCTTTCGGTTCGGGAATGGTTAGTGGGACTTTAGGTGGATAGTCAGTCTTCCATTCCGGGAATGGTTAGTGGGGCTTTAGGTAGCCAGTCTTCCATTCCGCCCCCATCTACTCCATCGAGTGAGTGGTGGGGACGTGTCGCCAGTGGAAACACATATATTCCTGGGCCGGCATTAATAACACAGGAGAAACCTTGGGTAGGAGTCCTTTCAAAGTTCCCAAAGCTTCTGTTTTTGACGGGACGGACATGTCGTATCCGTCGTGGTCACAATTGTGTGTACTGAGTGCCCACAACAATAATCTGTATGAGGCTTTGTTTCTGAGCTACATGTAGAGATTTCGATTGCAAGCATTGAATTCGATCTGACCCCCTGGGTAGAGAAAGGATACAACATACATGGGTGTGCTGTGCCAGACTGAGATATCAAGGTGGATTTTGTTCGACTGTTTGAATAAGAACTCTCTCAATACCATGGCTAGGCATGCAGGTTCCCCCACCAAGTCATTTCGAGTGTTGAAAAATCACTTTCTACCCTTGAACCAGAGCACTGTCTGGAACCTTGGAGTTGGTGTTTGTGACTGCTGACGTGAGTTTCTGTAGAATTGGAGCATGTATTGTAATCTCCCAACTTGGGATATCACCTCTTTTCTCCCAGCGCAGATATTGGTGGTGAGTCATGGAATTACCTTGCTTGGTGGTCCTGATGGTGTGATGACTGTTTTCGACAGACATACTATTTTTCAGAGCTTCGATGGCATGCTATTTAAGACTGCGTATCGTCTTGAAGATGAATCTGTTGGTTCGGTGTTAACTGCCCTCACTCCTTCAAACCCCAAGCATGAATCTAAGATGGATGTGAACGAGTTTCGTAACATTTATGCTCATTCGCATGAGGGATTGCTTCGTACAACTGCAAAGCGACTAGGTATCGAGTTGACCGGTAAAATGCATGCTTGTACGGGATGTTCGATGTCGAAGGCATTCAAGAAAGGGATTGCTCATGAAACAAAATGCAGATCAGACAAAAAGTTGGGCAGAGTTTTTGTTGACCTGGGAGGGCGGAAGGACGTTGCGTCCGTAGGGGGTAAACATTACCCCATGATAGTGAAGGATGATTTCACAAGACGCACATGGATGTATTTCCTGAAAAGTAAATCAGACGCTGCGAGTGCTTTCCGGAGTTTCCTTGCAAGTGTGCGTGCTGATGGTATCCCATCATTGGTTGAGATTGTTAGATCTTACAATGGGGGGGAGTTTTTCGGAGGAGAATTTGCGTCCGTGTGCAACGAGCTCTTGATTAAGCAAGAGTTCACCCCGGCTTACAGTCCCCAACACAACGGTGTTGCAGAGCGTGGTTTGGGATTGATTGAGGCGGCGGCAATGGCTGCTCGTATTCAGGCAAAAGTTTTGTTTGGGCATGTGCAATTACCTAAGA